CCTTTATTAGTATATAAGTGCCTTGTTAATAGTTCTATCGCTCAAAGTGGAGTCGAAAGAGATGAGTTTTCAGTCTGCGCCAGAAGGTGTGTAAGCTATCTGCTGTCCTGATGTCAATGGGGAGCTCATTCCACCATTTTGGAGCCAGGATAGCAAACCCACGTGTTTTTGCTGATGGGAACTTGGGTCCCCTTCGCAGCGAGGGTGCAGCGAGCCGTTTGGTTGATGCAGAGCGGAGTGCACGTGCTGGGGTGTACGGTTTAACCATGTCCTGGATGTAGGAAGGGCCAGATCCATTCACAGCATGGTACGCAAGTACCATTGTCTTGAAGTGGATTCTAGCAGTTATCGGAAGCCAGTGAAGGCAGCGGAGGAGCCGCGTGGTGTGGGAGAATTTAGGAAGATTGAAGACCAGGCGAGCAGCTGCATTCTGGATGAGCTGCAGAGGTCGGATGGCACATGCAGGTAGACCAGCCAGGAGGGAGTTGCAGTAGTCTAGGCATGAGATGACGAGAGCCTGGACCAGAACCTGCGTCGCTTTCTGGGTCAGCTGGGGACGCATCCTCCTGATGTTGTAAAGCGTGTATCTGCAGCAGTGGGTTGTAGCAGCGATGTTTGCAGTGAAGGACAGGTTGTTATCTAGGGTCACACCCAGATACCTTGCAGTCTGAGTCGGGGAAACAACAGAGGTGCCAATGTTGATTGTTAGGTCAAGAGTGGGACAATCTTTTCCCGGAAGGAAAAGCAGTTCAGTCTTGTCAAGGTTGAGCTTGAGGTGCTGATCAGACATCCACTGAGAGACGACAGCTAGACAAGCAGAGATGCGTGCGACGACCTGGGTCTCTGAGCGGGGAAAGGACAGAATTAATTGGGTGTCGTCAGCGTAGCAGTGGTATGAAAAACCATGCGGGCTAATGACTGATCCGAGCGAGTTTGTGTACAAGGAGAAGAGGAGGGGACCAAGAACAGAGCCCTGAGGGACCCCTGTAGTTAATTGACAAGGGTCGGACTCGGACCCTCTCCAAGTAACCCTATAGGTGCGGTCTTTGAGGTATGAGGTGAGGAGGGAAAGTGCAGAGCCTGAAACTCCAAGTTCTTGGAGAGTGCGAAGGAGGATCTGATGATTCACCGTGTCGAATGCAGCAGACAGGTCCAAAAGGATGATGACAGAGGAGAGGGAGGCTGCTTTAGCAGTGTGCAGTTCCTCAGTGACAGCAAGGAGGGCAGTTTCTGTGGAGTGACCTGCCTTGAAACCCGACTGGTGCGGATCCAGAAGGTTGTTCTGATGGAGATAGCAGGAGAGTTGTTTAAAGACAGCGCGTTCAAGTGTTTTAGACAGGAACGGGAGGAGAGAGACAGGCCTGTAGTTTATAACATCAGACAGGTTGAGAGTGGGTTTCTTTAGGAGAGGGTTTACTCTTGCCTCCTTGAGACTGTTTGGAAAGTGACCAGAAGTTAGAGAAGTGTTGATGAAATGGGTGAGAAACGGTAGAATATCAGGAGCGATAGTCTGAAGGAGGTTTGAAGGGATAGGGTCCAGAGGACAGGTGGTAGGGTGGGCAGAGGTAATGCAGTACATGACATGTCAATTGACCAATCATATCTTCCCTCTAAATGGGTGTGCTTTATTTTCGCGGACTTTATGACAAGTTCCGCCCGCTGTGTGGTACAGTGCGCTGCGCTCAGGTTCCCTCGACACAAAAGCATTGGGATTTCTCCATAGGATTTAGGAAAATTGCTCGAAATAAGGTCTGTGGAACGAACCTGTTCGATAAATGCACGTTGTGTTCATCCGGATAATATCCACATGTCTACCCTACTTTTATTATTTTCGAATCATAAATCTAATCGATAGATTTATGATCGATATATTTATGATTAGCATAAGTTCGTTCATGATGGCTCACTTCAGTGATAGTGATGACATCGTTGCGAAATTATTAACCGAGTAATTTTCAAGATTGAGTTACAATGATAAACTGGAGTGACAAAGGATCAGCTGCATGACCCTGCATAGGGTATGGCGCAGTTGATAGAGCCTTGGTGTTGGGACCCCACTGCAGTCAGCATGTCGTTGTGTCCCTGGGCAAGACACTTAACCCAAAATTGCTCCTGTGGGGATTGTCCACAGTATTGAGTATGTAAGTCGCTTTGGATAAAAGCGTCTAACAAGTGACATGTAATGACCCGCCATCAAGTGCTTCATCCAAAAGGACAGGAGGATGGACTTTGTGTTTAAGTGATTTGATCATCAAAGGTAGGCCTAAGTGATTTTCAATGTGGGCCGCCGTTCCAACTTAATTCATTTGTAATTGTTACTTGGCTGTGGGTGCCCTGTCATGATAGGTGTTTATATACATGGTGTTGTTCTGTGTTCTAGAGGGTGATATGATAATATATAATATGATAATAGTTGTCTGATGCGTTTTGCACCCCGGGCCGCTGTTTTGATATTCCGCTGAAGTATACGCTGTGACGTAATAGCACTTATTTTTTTTCGATGGAAGGGGGGGGTCAGAGGGCCTAAGTATAAAAGTCACGGCTCGCCACTGCTCTACACACATCGAACTACCAGAGTATTCCCCCTATTACTCGTTTTATGAAGGAGATGTCCGGTCACCAGGGGGCATGATGTGTGTTTGTGCTCAGCTCCGCTCTGTGTGTGTGTGTTCGGTGTGTTTGTGTGTGTCCGACACCACCGGCATTTGTTTTCAAATGACCATGAACAGTAATTTACACAAATCTGGTTCTCCATAGTTATATGTGTATTCCCAAGTGAAAGAAATTCGTTTAATCTCGTTGTAGTGCTGCTATAGTCCTGCCGGAGTGCACTGGAACAAACAACAATATCATAAACAAATGCCCCCCCCCCACACACACACACGCCCTGGCGACCGGACATATTCTTCATAAAACTAATAATATGGCGTAATAATCGGGCAGTTCGATGTGTTTTACCATAAGAAAGTATCTCGTGTGAACGAGAAAGTATATCGTGCGCACAAATTAATAAAGCGTGGCCTCGTTTTATTTAAATTGAGGCCACAAATTATATTTCATGCACACAAATTAATACTACCCGCATGGTTTTTCATACCACTGCTACGCTGACTACACCCAATTAATTCTGTCCTTTCCCCGCTCAGAGACCCAGGTCGTCGCACGCATCTCTGCTTGTCTAGCTGACATCTCTCAGTGGATGTCTGCTCATCACCTCAAGCTCAACCTTGACAAGACTGAACTGCTTTTCCTTCTGGGAAAAGATTGTCCCACTCTTGACCTGACAATCAACCTTGGCACCTCTGTTGTTTCCCCGACTCAGACTGCAAGGAATCTGGGTGTGATCCTAGATAACAACCTGTCCTTCACTGCAAACATCGCTGCTACAACCCGTTGCTGCAGATACACGCTTTACAACATCAGGAAGATACGTCCCCAGCTGACCCAGAAAGCCACGCAGGTTCTGGTCCAGGCTCTCGTCACCTCACGCCTAGACTACTGCAACTCCCTCCTGGCTGGTCTACCTGCATGTGCCATCCGACCTCTGCAGCTCATCCAGAATGCAGCAGCTCGTCTGGTCTTCAACCTTCCTAAATTTTCCCACACCACTCCGCTCCTCCGCTCCCTTCACTGGCTTCCGGTAACTGCTAGAATCCACTTCAAGACACTGGTACTTGCATACCGTGCTGCGAATGGATCTGGCCCTTCCTACATCCAGGACATGGTTAAACTGTACACCCCAGCGCGTGCACTACGCTCTGCATCAGCCAAACGACTCGCTGCACCCTCGCTGCGAGGGAGACCCAAGTTCCCATCAGCAAAAACACGTGGGTTTGCTATCCTGGCTCCAAAATGGTGGAATGAGCTCCCCATTGACATCAGAACAGCAGAAAGCCTGCACACATCTTCCGGCGCAGACTGAAAACTCATCTCTTTCGACTCCACCTCGAGCGATAGAATTACTAACAAATAACTGCTAACAGAGCACTTATATACTAATAAAGGACTGGCTGATCTATAGCCAGTTGAGTAGCACTTGAAATGTTTGGCTCTATGAAACCTGATGTACTTACAGTGTATGATTCTGTTTTCTTCAAGGTTGTGTCTTCCTGGTCGAATGTACTTATTGTAAGTCGCTTTGGATAAAAGCGTCAGCTAAATGCAATGTAATGTAATGTAATACAACGTGGCCTCGTTTTATTTATTTTTCTCTCTATGAACCCTCCAGGGCTCTACTCCGTAGATCGACAACGTTTAGTTAGAGGAAATAATATTTTGACAAATGACCCTAATAACCATGGCAAGTTAGAACATCTTATTTTTTTCCTTATTTCTTCTTCTTCGTCTTCTCTGTCGGTTAAAAGTTCATATTGGTGCTGGAAATGTAGGGAATCTTTTTTTTTCAAACAAGGACATAGAGCAAGTCTCGAAAAAAAGCCACCTCCACTAACAGCTTCCTATTTGCCTTCCCCACGGCACCACCCAACTCATGAATTAACCTTCTGTTCAACTTTGAAATAGAAAACTATGCAGATCCACAACGGTGTACAATACTGTATGTGTCTGTGTATATGTGTACATGGAAAAGCTAGGGTTGTGCACTTTACTTTGTATGTTGGAAATAAATTCAGTCATAGTATATATGTGGAAAAAAAAGTCATATGTTAAAAATGTGAAAAAAAGTCTTAGTATATCGAAACATTTGAAAAAAAAGTAATAGTACAGTATGTCAAACATTTAGTAATAGTATAGTATGTTGAAAAAAAAAGTAATAGTATAGCATGTCGAAAGAAAAGTCATAATATAGTAAAAGAAACAAGTGGACAATAGTTTGGATGCCGCTCTTTCAGTAGATGTCTATCAAGCCGATGTGTATATCAGTATTGGAGGTTTATGGAAGGTTGAGGATGAGATACATTGCAGCATTCCTCATCCGGTGAAGAGGCCATCACAAACTTCTTCATACAAAGTAGTAAAGTAAGTAAAGTGTAGACACTAGCTGCAATAGTTAGAAGACATTTATTTTGAAGACTGTAAAATAATGAACTGCATTAGTTGTTAACAAGTTTTCAGCTGTTGATATGAAAACCTTAACATTTTTTAAATAGTTTCATAGCCGCCAGAAACCAAGGATACACATGATCAAGTTATTAAACATATTTTTTCCTTCCTGAGAATCTTGTCTGGAACGCAAAGGAATACAACATAATAAATTAAACTGGCAAAAAAGGAAACACTGAAGACAAACCAGGACAATGAAAAGGTACAGACAATGGAGATTGGGATGGAATAGTGAACTACATAGATGACTGAAACATAATAGCTTATGGTAACTGTTCTCTGGATGATTGGTACATCATGCACTCTAGATAGCTGCTGGAGGATTACACGTTTTAGAGAGACAACAACCCTTAAACAGTAATGATCCAATTTTAAATGAAAGGCAAATTAGTATCCAGTATTGTGACCAATCCGCTCATTATGCTTCAGAATTTCACCTCAGAAAAGTACAGTATATTCATACAGTTTAGTAATGCATCGCAGTAGAAACACTGGTATTTGGCAAACTCAATCTTTAAAACTTTGGATTAAAAACACTGCGCTCCATAAATGCTTTTTAGTGTTTATCTCTGAACAAAACGCCTGTCCCGAATAATAAATCTATGCTAAAATACACTGCTGGTTGGTCAAACTCAATCATTCATGCACACACAGTTGAATTCTTTGAATTCATAATTTAGTGCTTACTTTCTAACCCTCATTTATACCTAATAATATCTTACAAATTGAATTTTTTTGTATTAACCAATACTATATCAACTGACTTATGTCACAACCCCCCCAGCTGTGCACAAAGGTTTTCTGTCAGTTATTGGAACTCTTAGTGAGGTTTGGCACTTACAACAGTCCTAGACAACTAATACACATAAAAGGGTTTTGGTACTATTTTATTCGTGGATCCCATTTCCCATTCCAGCTGTTAGGACACACACCTTTTAAAAAAGCATGAACCTCTTTTTTAGGCTATGTCTAGGAAGTCCTTTCTTACAGTAAACCAACACTAAGAATATTTCCCAACACATTTAGCCCTTCACATCTTAAAATAATCTCTCCTGGAGATTACAGCAATGATGTCTTCTCTTTTTTCCATAAAAGGGCTCAAAAACAAGCTCAAGTTCAAACAAAACTTGAGTTAAGCAAATTGAGCTAAACAATTGTTCTCACTGTCCAACTTTTAAATAGAGCATTTTGTCCTTCCAATTACTCAACCCATAGTCCTCAGTGCTGAGCCTGTTATGAAAGGAGTCTATTGCCAATGGAAAGTAGAGCCCGTAAAAACACGAGCGTCAGAATCCATACACCCCTAAACATACATCACTTTTCTTAGGAATCCTGAAGGACGGGAATGCCCCCTTAGCCCTCAGGCTGCCTCCAGCTATCTCCAGCCAATTAGCTTCTTTTGGCTACGTCCACTGTTCGCCACACCGCTCTTAGGGATGGACCAGCCAGCTGTTGGCATCCTCCAGGTCTGTGTCGAACTCCTCGTCTTCATCCAGAGGCTCCGGGGTTCGAAGGGCCAGCTCTCGGAGGAAAGAGGGTGAGTGGGCAGGGGGCTGGGAGACGGACTTGAGGCCAATCTTTTTCTTCATAAGATGGAACTGGTCTCGGATGAAGTTGTAGAACTCATACTCGTAGCGCATGCGGTGGTAGAGCACCTGCAGCGCCTCCAGAGTGGGCGTGTGTTTACGTACTGTGCCTGTCATATTCCCCATCTTCTTATAGTCTGCAGAAAGAAGAAGAAGTACAGAACCAGAAGAAGTCAGGTTAATGTAATTTGACAGTAATACAGCCAAAATCATGATTTAAAAGAGATTCATGTGCAAAACCTCAATGTTTAAAGGCAACAACAGTGTAGGAGCCAAAATGCTGTGGTAGCCTGTGTTTAGTTATATTATCTTCCTTATTTGTTAACACCACACACACTTGTCTCCTTTATTTTTTTTAAACAATATATTTACACCACACACACTTGTAATAGGTTGTTTCTGGTAATTGTCACATGGGTGTGGTTAATGGTATTTAGGGCACCTGGTGTATGTTTAGTAGCATGACAATGGGGATGAGCTTAGCTCTAATATATTTTGTTGACCGTATGATTCTGTTTGTTTATTGTTTTGATTTACAATATTAAATATCCGTAAAACGTTGAGTTCAGTACAAACTTTATTATTTATACGCGTCACATCAATGAGCGAAGTTTAGCCTCAGAGCGGCCGTATTATGGGAATATAGCCGCCACAAACAGGTACCAATATGATACATCAACATATGTTTTTTGATTGTGTCTTACCAGGGCTCTTGTAGATGCTGAGTACTCCAGTAAAGTAATGAGGTAAGAGCCTCTCCAACAGGAGCAGAACATCCTCCAGCTCCTCCAGGATACCAACAAGCAGGTAGTTCTCCTGCACATTCTGTTTGGCCCTCTCCAGAGCCCATACCCCCGGCTCCCTGGTGGAGAGAGAGGAAAAATCACGAGTAAGAGACAGACAAACAAGTACAACAACAGAGCAGATTTACATGCCACGTTTAATAACATATCCTCCATATTAAGAGTCTGTAGATACCTGCATTGAGGATGCTGTCCACAGAAGTATGGAATAATGTAGAAGACTCTGGGATTAGAGCACTCTGGGTAATTCTCTAGAATGCACACATTGATATCCTGAAAGCAGACAAACACATCACAATCATAATTTTACATTATGTTTCATTTAACTTACACTTTGATCTAAAGTGACTTAGAGTGCAATAAACCACAAAGATACATGCAGCTACATTTGCTTTAAAGAGGCCAAACCACTGTAAGTGCTGGTGCATTAGATTCAAGTCAGCTAAACCCTTAAGTACTATATGTTGTCAGTTAGGTTTAATGGCCTAGGCGCAGGCAAAACAGTACTTATTTATTCATAGTTTGCCGAGGTGCAGGCGTAGAAGAATCTTAAACATGTAATGTTATATATTTGCCACTAGAGGGAGCCCATCACCAGCACTGCTGTGAATCCGCTGATAGTGATCGTCATAGAAGTGCTGCAAAACCACATCCTGAGATCAAAGATAAACTCTGCTCCTTCACCATAGCTGCTCAGATTAGAACACATATATTACATTATTACATTACATTACATTGCATTTAGCTGACGCTTTTATCCAAAGCGACTTACAATAAGTACATTCGACCAGGAAATAAGTACATTCGACATATAGTTGAACATGAAAGAGTGCTCGCTTTAAAAATAAATAAATATAATATAAGCAATATAGAATCAGATAGTAATGATAGTCTGTTTTTATGTTGTAATCAAGCAATGATGAACTTAAACCAGTCACTAATAAGTAATAAGTGGTTAGATCACAGTTGGGACATTTAAAACACCCCTTGTCTAAATGTGGTAGCTATTAAATAATGAGGGGGAAAACACAGAGGACAGATTAAAAACACACATGCAGGAGTGGAGCAGGCCAGCCACTCAGTTCTATGGAACTAGAAGTCAAATCCGTGTCAGGTGACGTAAGCTTTATGGATGGCAACAGGTCCCAAGCAACAAAACACTCCACGAAGCATGACTCACACACACGTACACGCCACATGTGTTCTCAAACGCACATGCGGTAGCACCAGGCTATATGCATGAGGCAAAGAGTGTTGACAGGTAGAGAAAAAGAGGATGGGATCTGGACATATATTTAAAGCAGGGGTGGGGGACCTCCGGCCCCCGGGCCGTATACGGCCCGCGAGACAATTTGGTACGGCCCTCGAGGTAATTTATAAACACACGCAAAAAAGAAAAAAATTAAAGAAATCTAGACCGCAAAAAATTAAACAAGCGAGTGCCTGTTTTTCCTGGCCAAGGTCAGAGTCCTTGAACACAACACGAGCCTAACGTGTCATCACGTGGTATATGTCTCGTCTGACAGGGGTGCAGTTCTGACCGAGAGCAACAGAACGCCGCTCCACTCCGGCACTTCCAAAAATTGCAGTACCCATAAGGAGCCGTACACATGCCGCAGTTTTTGCGTGGCTGTGTCTTAGTTGTAAACCCAGCATAGCCGCGGGAAGTCATTTTGCTCAGGGGGTGCTGCCAAAAGTGGGGAGGGGGCCGGCTGTTGATTGATTGATTGATTGATTGAAAAGTTTATTAACAGCTTGTATATTGGGTACAGTACAGTACAGTACAGCTCAGCTCAGCGATACGAGCCGCATAAATTGTTTGTTTAAGGCGAGACACGGCAGGCAAAAACATCGTTTTTCATGCACTGGTCAATTTTGAGATGTTGTGTTATTTTGATTCCATAACATGTTTTCTTTCAGGCTTTTGGAAGGAAAACGTACAAAATACACATTTAAGTGTTTATTTGACTATAGTTTGTCTATTTGCGTCTGTATATTTCTCCTAAATTCACCAAAAGTTAGCTTTCTAACGTAACATAAAGTACCGCGACCGCTGTGTGCACCATGTCATCAGAGATATCGTTGGAAAGCTCCGTCTCTCCTGCACAATCTCATCAGATCCAAATATGGTCATTTACTTTGTATCAGCAACCAATCGTGAAAGTACAAAGGGGTCTTAACCAAGAAACTAAATCTCATTGGCTGGTGTCAACTTCTGACAACGTGATTCGTTCAGATGCGTCATGTGGTGTGCTAAAACACTTCCTGGTTAGCTTTCCGCTAGAAATTGAAATCTCAAAATGGCAAAAAAAAACGTTCACAGAGAAGACAACAACAATTGTCACTTGCACGAAGCAAGGTTATACAAAAAACAAATGACCCCAAACATGAAATACCTTCACGGAGTGCGTCGATGCGCAAGCTGTCATCCAAAGAACAGGAGGGTTTAGCTAGCGCCTCACTGCTATCTTTAAAGGTCGTTTTCTCAAAATGAGTTGTTTCTCCTACTCTGAGTCCGACATCTCCACTTCAGTTGCACTTACATACACCAAACCTTCCAGTTATGTTCCTATCAATATTATGAAGGCTTTTACAGAAGGGTTTGTTCATATGTCAGTCATAGCCTGAATTATACAAGTTTTTATACCTAGAAACATGGCGAAAATTGATATTTTAGGGCTGTTGACAGTATTTTCTGATTAATGGAGTGATAAAAAGAGATATCCAATATCCCTTCTGTAAAAGCCTTAGATGCTAATATGAGTACAAAATTAAACGAGAATTTTGAACCTGGCTTTATCCAAAGTTCAGATTTCGGTTCCTGAAATGTGTTAAGATATGCGCAAATTTAATGAGATAATGGATAATTTGCATATTCAGAAAACTTGTAATACAAGAAACAATTGCCTCATTGTAGGTAATTAACTGGAGAGATTTCCAGCTGATATCTTTAAGTTAAAAAAATGACCATATTCACCTGGTGTCTCGCCTCTGTTAGGCTTAATACACCATTATAGACCTCACTTAGCAACAGCTGCACATGCCCACATGCTAACTATGGGTCTTACGAACCTACATAACATTACAAATAGTCAGGAAATATTATTTACAATATTAATAAAACTATGAATTCAATTTTAACTGATTGACAAGGCAAAACACTGCACAGCGGCAGCAGCATTAAAGGACAAATATCGTCTTACCTTGTGTTGGGGCTTCACAAAACTCCAAATGTAGCCTGGGGTGGCACTAATGAAGACCCTTATTAGAGCAGATACATCCACATTGTCCAACATGTTACTATGGACATGCATCAAAGTCAGATGTGTCAGTCTCTTCTGTGTCATATTACTCTAGTTAGAGGTGGTGGGCTGAGGAGTAGCTGGTGGTCCACTCTTTTTATTGGGTTGTTTGTTGGAGACAAAAATCCAAAATCATTTTTTGCGCCATTCTAGAAAGTTGTCACTCTGCAGTGTGTGTGTCGCGTCAATTACGTCACTCTCCCACGACCTACGACCTAGATGACTCGGATTTTATTTATTTGGAAAATAAATTCAAGACACCTGACTGATACAAATATATACTATGACTATTATATGCTACTGTATACAGCTAATTTTATTTTAAGTGAAATCATAACTATTTGATGTAGTTTAATCATTTTTATTTAGGTGGTCACTCAGTTTTTCAAATGTACACCACTCGCCAACAGGGGGTGCTGAAGCACCCCCAGCACCCCTACTTCCCGCGGCTATGAAACCCAGTGGCGATCTGTTCATCTGACATACTGATCATACAGACAGTCAATAACTTTGTTGTTATTAGCATCTGGTTAGCTAGCTATGCTAACGAATATAGGAAGCTTTTTCTCCAACCAGTGAGGTAAAGGCACATCTTTACATGATCATTATAGTTATAAAAAAATAAGAGAATAAAGTAAACAGGTATACAATTCTATATGACAGTAAAAAAAAGTTGTAATTAATAAACAAGAATACAGTTTGAAAGGGGAGTGATTTGTAAAATATCCATAAAGTCTGCTTACAGTTCTGTTTTATCTGGGTGTTGAGAGATGTATCCATAGAGCTCCTAATTTTGCTCTCAAAGTGCACCAGATTGATGCTTTTAACTTCAACATTTAAAAAATAATCTTCCCGGGGGAGCATGCCCCCAGAGCCCCCTAAAGGAGGTTAGGTCCCCCCCCACTTAAATCATGTCCACATGGATAGGAAACTAAATACATTTGCACACATCTTGTGTCCATATCTTTCTGTTTTGGTGGTCATGCCACAACCGTGCACGTGAATGCATGCGCGAGTCATGGTAAAATATATGGATTAAGGGGTTGCTTTTTCTTTGCACACCATGAAAGAAAGGTGAAATGAATGGGCTGTGATTTTAGTATTTTTAAGCAGAGGTCAATAATTTGTACGGCCCTCGGAGGATGTCGGAAAAATTGAAATGGCCCTTGAGAGGAAAAAGGTTCCCCACCCCTGATTTAAAGCGTAATGATTTTGTCAAAGCTTGTCTACACTCTGTTTGAAACTGCGTATTTAACTACCAACACTAAGACCAAAATGCTCCATCACAGAGAAGAAGTTGGGTCGGACGGGACCGGAGGCCCAGACTTTCCCAGAGTTCTCTGTCTGCTGTTAAGGGTGAGATGTGAGGGTCAAAAATACCCCACTGACCATGTGTGTATCAACATGTATGAGCTTAACAGTTAGATAAGGTAAAAGATAGCCTTATGATTTCTCTTATCACTCTCAATGTCATAATTCTCTCAGCTTCCAAAGAGGTAGTGATGACAGGAAGAGCAAGAAAAAGTCTGTCTACATAAACTGGGATGACAAATTATGCACATGGTCAGTTTATGTTTCCTTGCAGCTCAATACAGTGCTGCATAGCATGTGATTCACCAAGTGGCTGCAGGGTTTGTTTCAAACTGTATGACTGAGCTGCACAATGCACCAGGAACATGACTTGTTGGTGATCAGTGGAGCGAACCACTGGAAGCTCATCAAAGAACAACAAATCCAAGAGGAACCTTTAGAAAACAGTTCACATGTGCACTATTGTTAGAGTGTGGGCCGTTTCCGGACTTGTGAAACACTTGCTTGCTTTTCTTTGATTCATAACTTCAAGGAGAATTTGTTGCCTTTTTCATGTTTTATTATTCAAAGAAAGACAGTGTCATCATGTGTTATCAATTAGGAGTATATCTCCTTGCCTTGACAGTTTCCTGTCAGTGATGAGTGTTACAGTTTCTCAATACTATATAACTTGTGTGGGAAACTATAAACCCCATGCAGAGATTTCAAAAGAAAAGTTACAGTTGATGCAAGAACTAACTTGAACTCATATGCAACACTGTTATATTTTACACACACTTGCCACACCATGCCAATAAAAAGATAATGGGACTCTATACAGGCCCCCCAACACTTGGCTGTAATGCAACAAAGCACAAAAGCTCCCAAAAATAATAATTAATTGCCGTAATATAAACAGTAACAACATAGGACAAAAAAGTGAACGCCAGAAAAAAGAAACTAAGAAAGGCGGACAGGAAGTGACATGTGTGACGCCATTCCACAACACATATGGCACCTAGCAGGAAGTCCCCCGTCCACTTTGCTCCGAAACTTGATACAAGACCCTTATGCCTTAGCATTTAGGGGACCTCTGGGAATGCAGCCACAACTCATTCATATACAAGTGCGCACAATCATATACACGTACACACACACACGTACACACACACACGTACACACACACACACACATACACACACACACACACACACCACTCACTCACTCACTCACTCACTCACTCACTCACTCACTCACTCACTCACTCACTCACTCACTCACTCACTCACACACTCACACTCACACGACAGACAATACACACTCTTTAGAGGACCCATTAGTATTTCGAAGAGAGCTCCTGTGTGCACACTCAGACTCATTGTTCCCATTCCCACTGTGGATTAAGCCAACTGAGCAGTCACAGAAAGTGTAGAAAAATAGGCCCTAATCTCTACGGCGGCCTCCTGTTTCAATGAAAAGAATGTATGCATGAATTCAATCAGGAGTAATTGATGATGTGAACCTTTCCCATGGGGCAGGCCGCCACAGTATTCATCAGGGAGCATGGGAGTATTACACCTGGGTCAAATAACATTTAAACCTACAATGACTAAGTGAATTACTTTTAACTTTATTGAGACTCTGTACAAAAAAAGTCATTAAGATACTTTTCTGTACAAAAAAACCCCCATGCTTGATAAACAACCCCTGATCAATTTGATCGGTATAATTCATCTTTCAGTTGCACCTTAGGCATCAACACTGTGACAGATACGCTACCCATACTCTTTTCTAATGTCAAGGCATGCCAGGGCATGATGGTTCTAATAAAGCCTCTAAAGCCTTTTATATTTGACGGTTTGCATGTGTCATTGTAAATGTCCGATTAACTCAGAGCAGATGATTTTCAAACGGTGTGAGAACATCTAGTATTTTAAACTGTGAGAATGTACCTGTATTTTCTAGGTTCATTTGAGACACTGAATTACCTAATATACATTTTGCATTTGTGGTAGAGCAAAGCCTCTCAACTGCTCCTTATAATTTGATAGCCGAATATAAATACACACTCTGACCAGATCAATCTCTTTAAAACCCACAGAAGCTCGTCATTTGACTCCTAACTGACAGTCAGTGCGTGTGCTCAATTCCATGCATGTGCACTCTGCGTTCAGGTGTCCAGTGCATGCCTTTATATAGTGTATGTGTGTGTAAAAAGGGGTGTGGGGGACTGACGGAAAATCCAAGCCGACCACAGGAATGTCTCGGTAACACGTGCATCAGGTTCCCTTCGCCCTTGGCCCCGGCGAGCACACTGACAGTGTTCTTTCATTGACACCTCACACACACCCAGCGCAGGGCTAATGTACAGCAGGCAGGGGACGTATCCAAGACTAGTCCCAACTCAGAGTGTTGACATAGCAAGGCACTCACGCTGATAAACACACAGATATTTGAAATGCTGTACTCGCGAGACACATTCATTTCCTGGCCTAGAATCTGGACACAGCACACAAAAACGTTTTTATCAACCTTTTTTTGGATTTCAATATTAAATCAAGAGAGAATTATAATGAAATCCATTGATTTGGGTTGCTGATTTTTCAGGTGGAGCCCCTCCAGCTCTCACTAAGTAAGCCACATTATAAAAAGGTGTTATACATTTGATTAACCACATAGCTGCATAGATGCTTAGGTAAGCTAGCATTGAGTAACTATGCTGGACAGGTGTTACAAATAATACTAACAACAACATATTAACAATGTTAGTTAGTTAAAAAACGCAAAGCATTGCAAAGCAACACAACATCATGTGAGAGATACATTAATATAATATCTATGCAGTTGGTATACAGCAAATCTCAGTTCTGAACATTTCCAGGGAATAAAGTTGAAGCTGAATATAAGTAATGTGGAAGGAAACAAAGACTTACATTAGCCTTTACTAACTCAAGGCCACACATTACATACTGTATTAAAGCAACTCAAGCTAAGAAGTGAACAACAGCAAATTGTCATCACTCTGGAACATTTTAGTCAGTTTTGAATTCTTAGGGTCAAAAGTTGGTCCTCGCACACACACAGGTAAGCCAGGCTGCAGCAGCACAGCCTCCCCTTTCCCTCAAACTGTAGCAAGGGGCCCCCGTGGTCTGCATACTTTAATAACTCAACTCACATGGTCCAAAACTACTCCGGGGAAAGCAGTTGCAATACTTAATTACAACCCAGTCAGACATAAGTTAGAATGACATTCACTCCTCCCGTTTTCCTCTATGTATGGCCTGACAGTATGAAGGTCTGTGGGATAAATGACTACCTGTGTTTGCACCTGGATACTAATTTGTTATAAAAATGTTAAAATAGTATTGATTTAATTATAGTTTTGACTTGCTAGCCAACCTTTTTGGCCTGCCTGCTGAACCCAAATGTAGTATTTCCCACCTCACATTAGACCCAGCTCTTAACTGCTAACTCTACCTGATGTTCTCCAAAGTTAAATCTCACATACAGAATTAAAAATGGCAACATGAAAATTAAAGTGAGGCTGCAAACGGCATGTACTGTGATATATGAGTATTCAGCTGCAGGGGTATACAATTCTGCAAGGCAGATGTGGGATATCAACTTCTGATGTGGCTTTACAACATCAGGTCTCTAATTGGAATCACAATCATATTTAAATATCGGGTTTGCATCAGATTTACACTTTTCCTTCGTGCCTCAAGCAACACCACGTGTAAAACATCTTCAAAGAGTGTGGTTTTGATATATCACTGTATAGAAGAAATGTTCTCTTTCTTATATTTGAACAAAGAAGAAGAAGATGTTTGTCTGAATACAGAAATCTCAAACTCAACTAACACGTCATCTGGCTGACAGTTCATCGGGTTTATAAGTATTTTCTTGAATGAACGCAGAAATGTAGACTGTCAGTAGGTACACATTCCTGTTTGATATTTTGAGGAAGATTAAACAGTGTTTTTATATGACAGTCAGTATCATCACTATCTCTCTGTACAACGTCTACAAACAAACACTCCTTGACTTACGTGTCTCCATAATTAGTGTAAAGCTCATACCAGAATAAGAAATTAGTACACATGATTTCATGTCTCAATTGAGCTTATGAAACCATCTGGCCTGCACCAAAACAGATACAGATTAAAAGCACAGTTATTGGCAAACTAGCAAACTCTGTAGCTCTGTGAAATACTACAAATGCTTTAGTATTTCAAACCATAAACATCAGCATTGATTTATCTAATGTCCATATGACAGTAAATGGGCAGCAATGGGTCCATTAAAGGTGGCTAGAAAGGAGGGTGTAACTTTTTAAATAATATTGTGGGGTTATATTGGGTGCTGGTCCCAGTTTATTAGGTACCCTCTCTGGAGCTACTTCAATTATAAGTTCTGTGTAGTTTATTGCTCCAAGTAACAACAAATTATTTGACGATTTTAGGGAGCATTTGGGACATTGGCCCTTCTATTCATTACAAATCTGACACACTGTTTTGGCCAGAAAGTGCTGCTCAGAAATAGAAAGAATAAAAGGTGGCTGGTGCTAGATAAAAATGTATTTCAATACAAACCCTTTTCAATCTGCAAGGCAGGTCAAAAGGTTTAGCCCCAATAATACAATTAATCAACAGTCCCGTGTTCCTGCGTGACTGCACTTTGTGTGAAACTCTAGCTGAAGGCAGAAGTAGTTCTCATGAATGAAAAGTGGTGCACCTCACGCAGGAACACTGTCCTATCATTACAAATGTATACTTTTTTTTGTTATTGAACCATTAAAAGTTCTAAGACATAATTGGCAAAGATTGCACAACTCAAAGATGTGTATCTAGACATTCTTTTTTAAGAGAGAAATAAATCCACTCTGTGAAAAAAAGATTAAATCTCAGACACTCATTTACACACATCTATAAAATGATGAAATACAGCTCGTAGCGGGTACAACTTTATGCTTAGTAAAATTGCTTTGATTTTCAAGACAGAAATAAGAACTCATAAACAAAATTCTCACCAGGTATCTCTCATCATCTTTCATCCCTGGAGTTCGGATGAGGTGGTTCTGTTCACCCCTCCAGTCACCAAAGCGACGGAAGAAGTAGTTTGAGAGGAACCGGTTGATAGGGTCCCGGATTATGTTGATATAGACCGGCTGCTCTATCCTGAACCTTACAAAGACAAATAAAAGAGTTAATTAAGACCTTTATACAATAACAACAAACTCTGACGGTTTTAGAAATGCTGCTGTAAAACATCATGGTATATTGGTGCAGCATTGTACCTGGTAAAGTTGAGGAAGTGAACATGCCGTGTGTAGAGGAATGGCTGTGGGATATTACTGATGTTTTTCATGAGATCAACCTGGGGACAAAAAAAGCCTGTTAATTTGACATGTCAATATAAATCGGGGCATTCATCCAAGACGAGTTGCGGTCTAATTCTGAAAGCCTGTCCATAACGTCATGGTGCAAATCAAACAATTATTGTATAATTAGACAATAATCAAAAGCCTAGCAAGTTCCTGAAACTCAAAACAGACTTGAAGAAGAAACTGGGTGAATATTATATTGATAGAGGCTTCATTATAAACTAAATGTTATGTTAATAGACAGAATCTGCAGGTATTGTCACATGTAACCAAGAGTTACCATTCCAGGTTGGAACTGAGCATAATTAAAATGCACTTCAGATGTGGGTCCACCTGGTTTTCTACCTCCACCTTGACTCAACTTCTGTGTTTATCTAAAAAGGTTTAATACCATAAATCCCCTTCGTCATTTTATGGACAGGAAAGCCAACGTTATTAGTGCAATCATTTCAAGCGTCTTCATCTTCCACTGCTGCTTTGACAGATTAAAAAAAACATCCTGAAGGCTTTCCATGTCTGCATGGTGAGGCAGGCTCACAGAAGGCAACAATTCAACTTGGAGACGTCCCAGTAGTTCCAGATCCAGTGAAGATCTTACAATAGATCTTTGACTGAATGCCGTACAACTGAAACACCATTTTTATTCATTCCTCTCAAAAACAGCTCCATATTGTAATAAGTGTGTTTGTGATTTCCAGATATCCAAGTATGGAGGAAATTAGAGACTTTTTACATTTTATGTTAGCAAACATTGCACAACACAATTTGTCTTATTTCGAAAAGAAATCACTTTATAATGATACACATTCGGGAAATTGACTGACACTTTTCAAACCAGCATGTCAGAAGAATGTCTTGATAGTTAAAAAGCATACTCATACTGAAGTGTTTTTGGTGGACTTCTGCCAAACTCAAGAGATTAAGACAGACAGTTACAGACTGTGTAAGTGCTAGAAGTTTAAAGAGATCAGAGTTTTGGATTTCCCCAAATATAAAATGTCCTGTGAACCACTTGCCCTTTTTAATTATGAAAAAATGCCCTTTATCTCCCCCATTCTGTAATGACATATTCCACTGTACTGCCGTCTTTGTCCTTGGAAAACTCCTCTGTTGAGAGATAGAAAGCAATGTGTCGCTTTAACCTCTGTGGCACATGCTGTTGCCAGACGCTTCTATCCTCCTGCCAGTAAGCAATGCAACAGTCAACAACTTGTTTCACCCCTATTCCCGCCATGCCATGTTATTGTTACAGGCCTCTCCACCAACAAACAGTGTTGCAGAGACAAGGACAAGATCCCACACTGGATTCTTTTAGAAAACACTAATCATTTTGCTAATTGGAACACACAACCGTGCCAGAGGTACTGCTGCTAATGTGAATTAAAGCCGGATATTCACAGTGATGGGTTTGTGCTTTGTCCACGCAGCTCCTCAGCACCCATCAGTTTAAAGGGGATCTGGAGATGAAGATTAAAAAAGCGAGATGTAAGGCCGGCCAACTAACAGCCAGGCTGAACTCAGTTACACTGACAAACACATGGATAACAAATAAATTGTTTCTCTCTGCCTGAAAATTGGCAAGTTTAAGAGGGTAAACACAAAGGAATAATGAAAAAACAGCTGAACACTGCACATGGAGAATGCAATGAGTCCTTCTGCTACAAATACAGTAACCCACAGGGGAAGGGCAAATCAAAACTGGAGACCGGGGAAAGAAGGCATAAACATGAAGAAAAAGTGTTTTCATCAGCAGCTGTAGTACATACAGTTCTCAAATACACACATTGATTCAGATGCTGTAAAGGGCCTCTATACAAATAGTGTCTAGGATTCCCTACTGTCTAAAAGCATTTCAGAAGACTTGGTTTTGTCTGTTAAGCTGTTAAGATTGACAAAACAGCCGCGCTTTGAGCTAAAAGTTGGTATGCTAAAATGCACAAACTGGATGCAGAGGTCTGGCTCTGTAATTCAGCGATTGGGACCTTGATGCAGAACACATCGAACAGTTTAGAGATCTGGAAAAAGCAAGGGGCCTTCTGCCAGAAATAACTTCAATGATAACTTCATTTTTGGGATAACTTGACACAGTCTTTGTGACGTCCACACTCCCCATGTTTTTGTTAGGAGTTCACTATTAGAATAGACTATGATCAACTTGTACATTGCAGTTGATTTCTAGGTGATTACCTGACAAGTGAAGCCCAAACACTACCAATGAAGCCTTCCTTAAAACTAAATCCACTTTATTGGTTCAGCGATGGGACATTCAATTTCAATAAGTCTGTTTGCTTTATAGGAGATGGGGTACAGTGGCAGCAAACTCAATAAGAGAAAATAAGAATTGATTGAGGTCATTTGTCTGAGGTTGGAGAGGTGGCTCTTCTTTGCACTGACCGACAGATTTTAAACATACTGTCGATTGGAGATTGTCCCGTTTTAGCAATCTTCTAAGGAACTGAATGTCCTGTTTGAATGTCCTGCTGTCATAAACTATGTATAGGCTCCTGTTACGTCACTGCAAGACTGTTTGGACAGCAACAGTAATATGTATACTTGTTTATGTACACAGAGAAGTTAATCTGAGGCCCCAGTCAGATTTGGGTTTAACACCCTCCCTCTTCTCTATAAACTCAGTACATTTCCACTCACTTTGCTTCCACCTTCCTCCACAAACTTACATTAGCTTTAGAAATAAAATCACCACTACACTTGCCTCCTGCATGATATGTCTCTATTAATCTTTTTCAATTGGACATAAAAAAAGTAAATGTTCCGCAAACTGCTCGTCCAGACCAATTAGCCCACAGCTTACATCCTGATGCCCCCTCCTCCACACCCTGGTTGATGTGCAGACCCTAAACACATTTGGCACATTTGGTTGAGTTTTGTGTATGTGTGTGTGTACATTTTCTGACCCACCCCTCTGGTCTGTCTGGCCAGACCCCCTCTCGTTTACCAGGGAGAGCTGCAGGGAGACAGAGGGAAGTGGAGGACAGTCTGAGATTCCAGGCATACCTGCAACCTCCCCGACCCCAGCCCCCCCAGCCCCCCAGCCCCCCAGCCCCCCTCCCTCCTGAGCCAGTGGTGCCCACACCGGGCTCATCGGGGGAAGAACCAAAAACCACTGTAGGCTACAACAGATCTGCATTCAAATATATTTGATTTGTCAATATTTATCACGTTTAAATATTAAAGAAGACTAAATGATCAACTCCTGAGGAATAGATAAATACTTGGGCCAGACATTATAAGTGTACAGAATTATCAATACAAAGATTTAGTGTCTTAATGAAAAAGTCTTTATACAGAAAATACTCTAAAATAACTTCTCAATAAGAAAAAAGAGCACTAACCAAATTTCAATTTCTTCTTGAGCCAAATCCAACTGTGTAAATAACCAAAGGCAAATTGTTGCTTTGAGTGTAGCAGGGGAGATGCTAGTAGGAAAATACTGTTTAAAATATTTGTTTGTACTTGGGCCAGTTACATTTCGGTGTTTGCGTATCTGCGGCTTTGTGAAGCAGATACAAAGATTCACAGCGGAAGAGCAAATGTGTGTTGGTTAATGTTTTTGGTGAGTGGGAGGAAACAGGATCCCACATGAACGCAGACACACTTACAATAGAGAAGCTGTCTTTCTGTTTCTGGATGTTTTTAAGGAAGATTTTTCTCTTCCCAGGAAATGTCTCAAACCTCTCTCTCCCACTGAGCTTGTTCCCCCTGTACTGAAAGGGATAGATGCGTCACTGTACGCCACAAATCTGCAAAAGCTCCGCAAAGTTCCAGACAAAAAAGGCACCTTCACTTTTTGGCAACCCACGCACAAGGCATCAAGCAAGCAAACCCATTAGCGGACTTCTAGGAGAGCCAGGAGGAAAAAACGGTCCAAGAAACTGCAGCCTCGAGCCAGAACCACAACTGATGAGACCAGCATCTCTAAACTTAGGCGACCCACGTCTGGATCTGCATACAGTAGGTCAACACACAGAAGTACACACAAAGACGGAGCTACACTTTACAGAATCACACATAAACACAAGCACAGACGCACACTCCTAGACAGACACTGGAATGCACACACTGTTTCTGAGGAGCATTGCTTGGGTGCATTCACAGAGATGTTTTATGTCCAGAGAATGAATGAGTCTAATAGTGTTCTGCCTCTGTGTTTGCAGCAAGCGTTTCAGGGTTTGATGAATGGACAAACAAGCAGCCGTTTCAATACAGGCCTAACATTTACATCATATTGGTCAGTGATATTACATATTTAGCATCTGCTGACAATTCAAAAGTGGTTAGCAGTAGCCTTTCCCTAAAGGATGCTGTCAATATGAGGATGTGAGTCATTGCTGCAATACTCCTACACAAACAGATTTAGGTTTATTTTCTCAGGAATATGACTAAAAGAAACATTGCCCTAGTGGAAAAACGCAATAAGCATAATTGCCTTTGAGGAAGCTAATGCCCTGCACTGCTTCTTAGGAACTAGATGTATGTATTCACTTACTGCTGCTGAAAATCAAGGGAGAGTCAAAGGTCAGTCAACTAGATAGCAGCCTCTTTGGAGCATGGTAAAACTTCCGTAGTGAAACACCCAATAGCTGCACTTATTTGGTAAATATATAAATATGACAACATTTCTAGGGAAAATATTGTCCTTTTTATTTTAATAACTATTTTGACAGTATGTTACGTAGTAAAATTCATCTTTCCTCAACAACAAGTTTAGATTTCTCAATGTATAAAAAAACTAAAACAACATAACACATTAACAGAAAACCACGATTGTGCTGGTGATATTATCATACCAGTTACTGTAATAATATTTAAGTCTAAAATCAACTATTGTTTATAAGGGGTAGATTTATAATAACATTGCATTTTGCTATTGGAACCTCTGTGCTTCTACCTATGTTTACTTTGTGGAATCAGCATTTCCATTTAGCGTCTGAATGCTCTTTCCACCACTGGATAATTGCTTAATTCAACTTTAGTACAGTTGTTGCTCTATCCCTTCAAAATGAGGGCTTTGGAACTACAATGTAGATCAAAACATGCATTGCCCAGTAAATCATGTCCTAATGCAGTCGGAAATCGTTATTTACATTATTTATTTTTGTCACGTAAGTGGAAAAAGTAATGGGAAGAAGATTGTGTAGGCATTTCCCTTTACCCATTTATCACTGGCACTGGTCAGCTTTTCTTAATGTCTTGAAAGGCTGCGTTTAAAAAAAAAATGAAAGCAGTTTTTCCTCTGTAAAAGCCAACCCTCATGTCCTCAGGACATTCTAGGAAATGATAAAAGGAGATTCCCGATGATTCAGCCTTGTTCTCACAAGGAAGAAGCCTCTGCTGCTGTTACATTCACAGTGAACACACAGTTAAGTGCAAACGAGAAATCAATTAAGCTATTTCCACATGGAGTAAGTGTTACCTACCATAAACTGAGGATGTACAGTTAACTGAAAGTGCAACAATAACTCATGTCAACCATACTAAATATAAATTATAAATACAATTAAACCTCTGACTCTTGAATCCATCCTCTACTGCTCCATCATCTCTTTTCTCTTACCTGTTCATGTTTCGTGAGGCGTGTTTTATTGTGGATGTCAGAGGAGACAAGGTTGAACTGGTGTTTCTCAGCCAGTAATCTCAGCAGGATGACCACCGTCCGGCTGCCGCACTTCCCTACACGGTTATAAACCACCTGGCTGGGGAACGGGAGCACCTGCAAACACACAACCGCATACAATATAAAGGGATAGAATACAAAAAGGTATATAAACTATTGATATAAACTATATATTGAATTTCTTGATGTATGTTACTTTCACTGATGTAAGGCAACCTATTGTCTTTACAAGTATGTCAAGACATAATGACAAACTGTTGAATTGATATGTTGAGGAGAAAAAAGAAGAAAACCAAGGAAAATCATCAAGCTCTGACTGGATTCTCTAGCCTGTTTTCCTGCGACCTTTGACCTGCTGTTTCTTTCTATCTACCCTCCCTGGGGCTAGACTCAATTGACCCTGCACTGTGTTCATTTTCAAACACACACACACACACACACTCACACACACACACACACACACACACACACACACACACACACACACACACACACACACACACACACACACACACACACACACACACACACACACACACACACACACACACACACACACACACACACACACACACACACACACACACACACACACACACACTCAAAGATTACGTGAAGGCATGAATGGTGATGAATGAATCAGAGATTGTGCTGACTTCTTTGCACAACGATACCAATGAAACACAGTCATGTTTTACACACACACACACACACACACACACACACACACACACACACACACACACACACACACACACACACACACACACACACACACACACACACACACACACACACACACACACACACACACACACACACACACACACACACACACACACACACACACACACACACACCTCATGACTCCTTAAATAAGTAGCTAAGCCATGACTCAATTAAAGTGGATGTGTGTGTCATTTGAAGTTTCACTTAGAAAATAGACTTGTTACAGTAAAACGTTGCTCGCTTGAAGGAGGAAGTTGAAGCTGTCATGTGTATTGAACATGAGACTCATTTTTGCACAAGGGCAGCAAGAATGCACTAATTTGGTAATTATCCTTAAGGGCCTACAAGGTTTACACAAGCGGCCCCTTAAGAATGAAGGCTATCCGAGCGAATGTACCAGTGAGAACAAGAGGGAGAGAAAATGAAGGCCAGTTAAAAGAATTACGGGAAGAATGACGGAAAGGAAGACAGGTCACCTAAAAGACATCTGGAATATTTTTTTTTTTAAAGTGATAGAGATCTAGCGCAAAAAAAATAAGCAAATCAGTTTTGTGTTTCTTAAAAGCCCTTCTCCCTCATCACTTCAAATAAAGCTGTTCTGTAAATCAGATGGAGGGAACAATAATAAATTAAATTAAATTATTGTCAGCATTGCCAGTCTGGAATGGTTATTGTGCTTTTCCCAGGGGGAGTTTCTGAATATCTTACAGACGTCTGACTGACTGAATTAACTAGCTTGTTGTCTCGTGCGATGGCTAGTTTACACACAATTGGCCTTCTCCTCATTCTGACCTGAAATTATTATGAATATTTAGATAATCTTAGCCCACTCTGGTTCTGCAGACAGTAGTTCCTAGAAGAGTTCAGCACGGACACACAAACACACACACTCCTCCAAAAGCAGCAGTCCCACCCAAGTACAGGCTCTGTAATAACAGTGAGAGCCTCTCTGAATGTTTTCCAGAGTCAAGTAGAAAGAAAGAGAAAGTTACAACAGGACGGAGAGTCTAGGAGTAAAAAAGATAGCGCTGATGATGGGAAACCAGTTGCAATACAAACTTACAGTTTAGTTCTGAACACAGGTCAGACAAGTTTCAATCCCACTGTTTTCCCAGAACCAGAGCACTTTACCAGACATCCTTTGAACTGGTTTAACACAATATCAAAATAATGTACATCGCCCCGGGATGAGGTAGGGAGTACTGGAAAAATAATTCACAGGTTCTTAAACAAGCTTACACAAGTTTTGTTGACAGGCATGTTACAGCTTGTGTCACATGCAACATGTTGTCATCCCTTACTGTCAAGCAGTCTTATATATCAGATATCATTTAAAAAACAGACACACACACAAACAAAAGATCAATGGTTGGAATTTCACTTAGTTTTGGGAAAAGATTTAGAGCAGATAGTAAATGGTTCTCTTGGACGGCAGTCCTACATTCCTCGCTGTTTGCCAAATAACTCCAGACTTCTCAGCTTGTCACAATAATCAGCCGTATAAAATATATGCAGTGTTTTGCAGGACACCATTCCCTGCTGATATGATGACAAATGACTGTGTCAGACCTCAAACAGCCTGGTATTGTACAACACAAGAATAACATCACAGATGCCATCAAAAGTCCAAATCTCCCGTCGGCTTTGACAGCAGTGAAAGGGCAACCTTTGAGTTTGTGCTATTGTTGTTCCCACTCTGTGGAGCTAAGGTTTCTGTTGCACACTGTGAGAAATGTTCGCAGTATGTGCCAGTAAGGGATTCTGTCAATAGTCTATCCACGTGGTAAAAAAAAGTATTATGTAACAGGGCTGATTTCCACTGTGTCAGTTCTGGGACTGTTGTTATGGTATTTACAGCTCTGATGCTGGCGGGCCAATATCTAGCAGAGATTGAGGAGATTAGTAGTTGTGAGACTGACCGTTGAGCAGCCCGACCAAGCAAGGAGGCAGAGGCAGAGAGTTCAAATATAACCCGGTGTGGGCATTTATTCAAATCATGGGCACATGATTCACAGCCTCAATTGCTGTCCACCTGAACACAGTCAGCAGCACAAGGATCTCACACACACCTGTCCACTGACAGGGAAAACAGAGCCTAAATACACACACACTAATCAGGCCAATAAGACACAGGTGGGGGGAGGAGACAACATAGGGCACCAGGTGAACCCAATAACCAGCCACAGACAAAACGGGAGGGGAAACACTTTCAAACTAAACCACATGTGCAATATTACAAGGCCCGAAGCCGTCAGTCCACAGTGACGAAGTTACCGTTGTCACATTTCCTCCTTCCTCTCCCGAAAGAGAACAGTACCTAATTCCTGCGACACTTATTGATCTTGGCCATTTTTCTCTCCTCCATGTGTCTCCACTCCGCCCGGTGTTTCTGCTCTCGCATCAATCTCCGGTTCTCTGCCAGGATCTGTGCTGCCTCAGCATCAGAGTTGGTGCCCCTCGAGCCTTTAGAGTCGTCTTTCTCTTTTATTAGGGAAACCTGTTCCTGTATCCGTGAAAACGGCTGCTCCATCTTTCTCAAACGACACTCCTCCCGCTTGAATCTGGCTGTGTCATACTGCAGGAATAACTTCATCATCTCCTTCAGTACCTCAAACTTGCCCCCTGATTTACCAGCCGTGGCCCCCTGGTCAGCTCCAACCCAGTCTCACGGCATTTCGTGTTATAGTCACGACATTTAATCTATTGATTCGTGTTCACCAACACGATTTTCCCCTTTTTTTCGTGTCACACAGAACGATTTTAAAAGCAATGTATTTCTATTGGTAGTATATGTTTCGTGCCTGCAGCACGTCTTTTTGTCCGTTTGGGTCTTGGAAGACCGGAAGCTGTGGGGTTCATAAAACATGTTCTTACTCAATATCAAGCCACGATTATTGTTTTTATTTTAAATCGTATAATGTCGGACTTTTGTTGTCGTCTGTGAGGAAAATAAATGGGGCTCAGAGCCTCAGAATACTGAAATCTGTATTTTTTAAAATCATTTTCTTCTTCTAATTTGTTATTATTTTCTAAATAACACACTGTTATTTACTCACCAATAACACACAATTATCCTTGTTTTTATTTATTTGTTTAATTCCATAATCTCTGGCTTTTTTGGCGTCCGTCAGGAACTGAATTTCAAAATAAAAATAACCGGAAACAGACGTAGGCCTATAAGGGACATTTCGAGCATCATTGCGATACACAGCCACTGAACTGATTACCCAAGATCCTCAGCTATGGTTTAAACTCTCTGAATGGATGTTTTAGCCACAATGCATGTAGGGATATGGTGTTAATGCGAAAAACATTTCTGAGTTTAGGATGGCCGAAGACACTACACTACCCATAATCCCCAGCTATCGTTTAGGACTACTCTCCCTGTGATTAATCTTCAAACTCTGGGATTGGATGTTGGAGTGGCAGTGCGCCAAGGTTACGCCGAGCATCAAACAGCTGTGTGAAATGGAACGAAACCACGCCAGACTATCCAAAACTGGAATCGAACGCCCCCCAGAACTACACGTGCTGGCTATTGTGTTTCGCAAAATGTTCTATGGGACATCTCTTCTGAACGTTTTCGTTTTTCCCACAATTAGAAGTTGCCAGTATTAAACACATTGGTGTTATCAAATGTAAAACATATAATTAATAAATGGGTGAAAATCGCTTGTGTCCATAATGCGCAGCATTAATATATACCTACATGACAGCTCATTGTTACTTTGTAATTCTACTCCACTACAATTCAGAGGTTAACCTGGTATTTTTACTCCACTGCATTTATTTGAGTTACTTTGCAGATTATGATTAATGATGTGAAATATAAACAACCTTTAAATCAGACTTTAGTTACACCTGAGTAAAATTCAGGGAAGGTGATTGTCAAGTCCGAACAATCAGGAGAGATATTTGATTGTTGGTGCTTGAGAAGACTAAACATTTATCTGCAATTGACATGAATGGAAACGAGTAATAAAGTATATTCATTACTCGTTATTCTTTACTAATAGATAATTAAAGACTGTATAATGGCTATTTTGCACATCCCTTTCAAGATTTCAAGATTTTCTAAGGTTTATGCAATGAATGAAAAACTTGGGTCGCAGCTGAGGTTCCTCAACAGTGCATTACAAGACATCTATCAATATGTGTGTATACCTCCACCATTAAACTGTCATATTCTGCACATTTCTTATACTATCTACATAAGAGTATAATGAATGTGTATAATATCAGTTAAAATAAGTGCTTCAACATAGTTAACATTGCAGGAAAGCAATATATTAGACGTTTTGTCAGGCTTAATATTTATCTTTTGATAGCCCCAAAGCTTTTTTCTTATTTAAAAGAAGGCCTTAATC